CGGGGCCATGCGGCGATCTCGGCGGCCGCCTGTCAGATCCTACAGGTAGAGAGTCGCTGATTGATGTGGGCTCCTGACACCGTGGGGGAACGCGAGGGGGGATTACTTGCTCGCGCCAGCAGGGGGGCATCGCGCCCGCGCTGATGCCCAGCGGGTCGAGCTCGACTGCTAAGTGGAAATGGTTCAAGCCATGGCTGCTCTCGTTCAGCAGCGCCGCGCGGCAGCAATGGGCCTCGCTCAGGCAAGATGGCAACTTGAAGTGTTCGATCGAGACCAATGTCGCGCATATTGGTTCCAGAAGTGGCCGATGGCCCCAAGGAGAGCCGCGCCCGGGGACTTCCGAACTTTCTCTACTGCTACGCGGTGAGATCGGAGATGCAGCGGATCCAGAGATCCAGGGTGAGTCTGGCCTCGCAGTCATCGCTCGAGTTCCATACTTGGAAAACCTGGGGTCGTTGCTTTAAGAGAATGGTGCGGGTGCGGGTCCGCCAGATCAAGTGCGCCATCAAGGATCGGAGGTTCTGTGTGCTGGCTGACCATGAGGAGAACGTGGAGGGATCAAAGGGGCTCAGATCCGACTAAGCAGAGCTTCTGCCAAGTTCCTTTCAGCAGGCGCACGCGACCATTGACCAAGGAGGCAGTCGAGGCGAGAAGAGCCAATGATAAGACACGCCATGTGGCCAGGTGGAACAAGGACGAGTCCGACACAGCTGATGAAGGTATGGAGGTCGACTCCAGTGGTGGCGATGACGAGCGCGAGGAGGGTCCCAGGGGTGGCCAACCAGGCGGGGCGTCCGTTGATCACCCAGCTGGCGATCAGCTGCAGCAGCCCGAGATGCTGACGGTGCTCGAGGTTGAGACGAAGGCCCGGGCTAGGGCTGAGGAGCAGGCTGCCGCGCCCTCGGTTGCTTCGCCACCGGCGCAGGAGACCTGCGAGCACGATGTGACCTCCGACCCTGCAGGATCGACCGTGGACCCCGATTCAAGCCGAGGCTTCCCAGGCCAAGATGCGTGGGATCTTTCGGAGTCTACATCGTGGTGGCGAACAACGAAGGCATTGTGTCCGTTTTGACTCGCTGTCGAGGAGGGTTGGGTCGCCGTTTAGATCGTCGCTCCCGGCGAGATGATCGATCGGTGGGGCATGGGCGTTGCCTGGGCATGTTGCGTTGACTTTGACGACGCCGCCAGTTTTGCGGCCTGCAGGGGGCTCGTGGAATAATCTAAACTGGAAGTGCACCTGTGCGCCCCGGTGGAGCTACGGGCTCTCCCCGATCAGCAGGAGACCAAGCCTAATCGCAATAACTATGGTATCTTCCATGCGGGGCGCCCCGCGGTTCCTGGGCCACAGATGTGGTTCCGCACCGAGATGATCGACCGGGGCGTCAAAGGCATCGGAGGAGTTCCAGCTGGAGACGACTACCACACCTGGGTGAACATCGAGGACTTTGGTCAGCTGGAGGGCCGTTTTCAATGACCCGCCCGCTGCTGATGTAGATTCGAGAAGCCTCGCATTCAGGGAATGCAGCAGGAAGCGGCGGAGCTAGAGACTCAGCAGGCGCAGCGCGAGAGGTTGCGCATTCTACGGCAGCAGCAAGAGCAGCAGTTGCCACCCGCGGAATTAGGGCAAGGCGGTTGCTAGCCTACTGACGACTTGGTCTACTACTTGGTTGCGAAGAACCGAGTTCAGCAGACGTTGGATCAGAAGGAGCACGAGGATGTCGCCACCGAGGGCGCGCACGTGGCAGAGGTGGTGGTGGTTCACCGCCAGTGTGCAAGATGCAATGCGCGCCGCGTGTGGACGAGCTGCCTGCCGCCGATGCCGTGCGGATCGCTAACTCGTGCAATGCCTTCGACGGCCGCGTCGCCAGCAACGTTCTCCGGGAATGCGATGCGGAGAACGACTATTCCGACTATTCGTCGCTCTTGGCCCACCGCGCCAGGTGGGCAGATCGGGGTGACCAAACATCCGCCAAGGATTCAATTTTCGACGTCAGGGGCCCGATCAGGCCCTATCCAGCGAATCAGTTCGACAACGTCTGGAATCCACCAGTCTGGATCCCAGCGGCGCTGAATTCGCTGGCAAGATTGGCGCCGACGACCTCGCGGACATTGGGGGGGCCTCTGGCGTGAGCTCAAGGGGGGGGGGGCCTGATCAACGACAGCTGGGGGAACTGGTTGAGGACGGCGAGTTGGTTATGAAGGGCCTCTGCGACCGCTGTGAAGAGGCGGGCAACCGTGGGCGGCGCGAGGGGGCGAAGCGTCTCTTCGCCAGCCCCCTGGAGGTCTCGAGAACAGCTTTGACGTGGGGGAGATGCGCGGTTGCCCCTCCCTGGGGGGGTGAGGCGATCAAGGGTGTAATGGCTGCTATCGTGGACCTCGAGCAGGACCTTGCTTTCCCGCAGCTTGAAGAGTCGCCAGTCGAGGTGGGCGATATTGTTCCCGGGCCCGCCGAGCGGTATATGAGTGCGCGCTGGAAGAGTAGCTCTAAGCTCGTCAAGGAGAATAAAACCGTTTACGAGAAGATGACGAGTCTTGCTTGGAAGACCTGTGTCAAGGTTGGTGTGTCAAAAGATAATGCCGTCCATGCCGTGTGTCGCTGCGACTGCTTCGGGCGCCGTCGTGCCGGCGGCTCGATCTGGGATGCCAGGCACAAGAATGGCTCCAGCTTTGCTCCGGGCCAGCTGTGCGCCAAGGTCGAAGGCCCCTGTGAGCGTGGTCCGATCAAGTACCTGGCACGACAGCGGCGGTCTATTTGTTCGATGCTGACGAGTGCCAGGGACATGGCGCAGTACATTGCCCGCGCCAACGACGAGGGCCCCGAGTTCAAGACGGCCTACCGCGGTGGCAACTTTGCAGCTCTCGCTTCCATCTGGAGCGGCCGCGGCATGCGCATGCTGCAGCCAGGGCCTTCCAGTGCTTAGAATGCGTTCGGGGTGTGCTGCGAAGGTGAGCGCCGCCGATGCAGCTTTGCTCACTGCGTGGTTCATGTCAGCAGACGTCGACCCTGAGATGACTGTTTATTCGTGCGTTTTCGAGATGGAGGTCGATTGCAAACGCCGCTCGAACTATCCCGAGCAGCGTGTTCATAAGTAGTGGTGCCAAACTGAAGGCAGTAGCTGTATCGCTGAGCTCTGGAAACATAATGCGACGATGGGGAGATTTGCGATGAGGTCCAGAAGCGTGAGTCTGCCTTCGGATGGTACAAGCCATGGAATCGGACAGCCAGGATGTACCTTGCCGCGAAGGTGTATCCAAGTGATTTTCCGAGTGTGCACGCATATTCGGATGGCCCGACCGAGGAACGTGATCTGATGACGTTAGACCCCGGATCTCACCGCCCCGCACTCGTATCAAAGCACGAGCGTTGGCTTCCGCAGTTGACCGTCAAGCTCAGAGCTGGGGCCCGCTTCTCTTGGAGCGGGCGGGCACCTCCTACTGGCCGCCCAACTCCGAGCCGAGGAGCTTCATGAAGGAGTTGGGTTAGTCTGCGGGCGACTTCACGTCAGATCATGGCGGTGGGAGTGGCAATCCCTGGGAAGATCTGTCCTAGACTGTCTTCCACAGGTCTCTGTGTTCGCGTGGCTGGAGCCTGCGCGTGTCACGGATGACTTGAGGAGGATTGTCGAGGTAATGGTGTCATGAATGGCTACGACTACGGTGGCTACGGCAACTTTAAGACGCTCGAGGTGAAGTGAGGCGTGGCGAAAACAAACAGGTAGGAACTGATGTTCTGTATATTTCAGCCTCTCCTCCCCCTGCGCCTCTTTCTCATCTCCCCTGCCCCGCGGCCGTGTCGGCTCGCAGGGCCCTTGAGCTGTGTGGTGCGCCGGCGGCGGGCGCGCGCGAACCCTCGTAAACAGGAAAGTGAATTTGCTCTCTCTCTCTCTCTCTCTCTCTCTCCTTTTTTTTTTGTTTGTTTGTTTTCTCTCTCTCTCTCTCTCTCTCAGTGCGGGCCCTTCCATGTGCGCAGGGTGTCTCCCTGTATTCCGTAAGGTGCTAGAGTGCATTCCACAAACGCCCAGAAGGGGGGGGGGAGAGGAAATAGGGGGGAAGGAAGGAGGTTGGGAGAGCAAGGGGGAAAATAAGGGAGGGACGATGAGGGAGGAGGGAGGAAACGCAGGGGGGGAGGCGGGGCATGAGGAGCAAGAGGAGGAAGAGGATGATTATGATGCTGATGATGTTGAGGATGATGATGATGCTGCTGATGATGATGCTGATGAGGATGATGATGATGATGAGGATGATGATGATGGCGATGGGGATGATGATGCTGGTGATGATGGTGACGGTGGTGGTGCTGATGATGATGATGATGGTGGTGGTGATGATGACGATGATGATGATGATGGTGGTGGTGATGCTGATGATGATGACGATGATGATGGTGGTGACGATGATGATGAGAAGGATGAGGAGGATGAGGAACAGGATGGCGACGAACATGAAAGGGAGGAGGAGGAAAGGAACAGGAGGAGGTGGAAAAGAAAGGGGGCGAGGATGATGAATATGAATATGATGATGATGACGATGACGATGATGATGATGCTGACGATGATGATGATGATGATGATGATGATGATGATGATGATGATGATGATGATGATGATGATGATGATGATGATGATGATGATGATGATGATGATGATGATGATGATGATGATGATGATGATGATGATGATGATGATGATGATGATGATGATGAGTAGGAGGTGGAGGAGGGGGAGGAGGAGGAAAAGGAGGAAGAGAGGGAGGAGATGAGGAGGAGGAGGAGGAGAGGAAAGAGAGGATGAGGAAGAGGAGGAGGTGGAAGAGGGGAGGAGGAGCAGGTGGAGGAGGAGGACGAGGAGGCGGAGGCGGAGGCGGAGGCAGAAGCGGAAGCGGAGGAGGAGGAGGAGGAGGAGGAGGAGGGAGGAGGAGGAGGAGGAGGAGGAGGAGGAGGAGGTGGAGGAGGAGGAGGTGGAGGAGGAACAGTTGTGGCTGCGCTCGCGTGCGCGCGGCAG